TCAACGTGAAGGGACACATCGAGTGGCTGCCACCCGCACGACCAACCAGGGCCGGGGACAAACTGCAACTGAAGTACGTGCCCTTAGCGGGAACCGAACCCGGGTCTCTCGGGACCGCAGGCCGACGCTCTAACCGCTGAGCCAAACTGGCCAGGGCAATACATTTTTTTTTTTAATCCTCACCCGAGGATATTTTTCCATTTTTTGAACAGATAGAGTGGGAGGGAGAGAGAGAGAGAAACATCGACGTGAAGGGACACATTGAGTGGCTGCCACCCGCACGACCAACCAGGGCCGGGGACAAGCTGCAACCGAAGTACATGCCCTTAGCGGGAACTGAACCCAGGTCTCTCTGGACCGCAGGCCGACGCTTTAACCACTGAGCCAAACTGGCCAGAGCTGTAGAAGTATTTTTAAAACTTAAATTAGCTGCCAACATGGTGGGGTGGGGGGGGAGCCCCAGATTTTTTTCTCTTTCCTTAAAAACTATGACTACTGAAACGAGTTCTGCCCACGTCCCCAAGAGGTTGCGACGGGTAAGAGCCGAGGCCCCTCCGCAGGGCCGCTCCCAGCTGCTCCTCACTCCACCAGCTCCGTGTGCTCACCATCTGGGCCCTGAGTGTGGGTGTAGAGGGTCCCCAGGGGGGAGGAGGCCTGCTCGGGACACAGCGAGGCAGGGCTAGAGCCTGAGCGTGGGGCGGGGCCTTCCCAGTGACCATCCGCGGCAGAGTCAAGGCCTCCCTGGGCTGAGCTGGCTTCAGCCCCCATCGGTCTGTCCTGAACCTTCGGGGTCTGGGGCCCTAAAGTGGACCCGTTGGAATACCCGAGGGGCAGGTGTTGAAATGACCAGTGACCTGGCCCCCTCGTGTGCTGGGCGTGGCTGGGCCTTGGGCCTCCAAATCCCTACATCTCCAGGAGCTTGAGAGCCATGAGGGTTTGGTACGTGTGGGGTTCGCTTAGGCCAAGGGGCACAGATTGTGATGCCGACCCATAGCCGCGGGCCGGTGAGTGAACACGGCCCGAGCACTGCTGCCCCTCACACCGTGCCAGGCTGCTGGGCAGACGAGACCGCAGCCCCGCCCAGCCGGCCTGTGGGCGCTGCCCGAGGCAGCCGCTGGGTTCAGGGGAACCGGGCTGGGTCCGAAGGCACCTGGCTCCGGCTCCGGCAATGACCTGCTGTGTGGCCTCGGCCACCCCGCGCCCTCCCTGGGCCTGTCTCCTCACCTGCCAAGCAAAGGCGGCTTTGACCACAAAGGTTGCTGCCAGCCCAGGGATCCTGGGGGTCAGCGAATGACCGAGAATTCCTGAACCGGGAGCCCTGCTGGACAACAGCACCCAGGCTGCCCCGGGAGCACAGGCCTGAACTGGAGCCCCCAGGACGCTGCCCTGCGTGGGGTTAGACGCCTTCCATCGCGTGGATGACATGCTCACGACAGCCTGCGGTCAGCACTACCCTGCAGTGGACGCAGGTGTCTGCACCCACGCCCACGGATGCACAGACTTGGGGAGACCACGGCCCCTCGATCAGCAGGAGCCCCCCTGCAGCTCTCACCAGGCCCACAGCGGGGACCCAGGCTGCACAGGAAGCTCATGCTCAGGCACAGTCAGGCGTCACGAGGGCCACCCGCCCTGAGCCCGCGGGGCCAGCAGCCCCTGACTCTCAACTTTAGACAAGTCAGCAGGACACTCCGTGGGCCACGGCAAGCAGCCACGAAGGGCCACTTGCAGCATTCTGGCAACTGGCAGCATCTCCAGGCCCGGGAAGGTGGCTTTCTCCACGCACCCCCTCTGGTTAAAAGCAACACAAACATAAAAGAAAGTTTCTCACCGTGGCCGGCAAAGCCACACTGAATCCAGGCCTCTGCCCCGCACCGTCCCCAGAGCCCGGCGCTCCTGCATCGCAGGCCTGCAGTCTGTCCCTCCGACGGGGCAGTCCTCCTACCCCAGGCCCTTTTCACGTGCTGTCCCCTCCAGACCCTCCTTGGCTGTCTCCTCCATGCCCTTCAGACTGTCACAACCAATGTGCCTTCCTCGGGGGAGCCAATCCTGACCACAGAGCCCCTGCCCTGCCCCGCACCGTTATCTATGATTGCCTTTCTCCGACCGGCTGCCCCATTACGGAAGCTCCTTAAGGGCAGGGACCTTGTCTGTCTGGCCCTGGACTGTGCCATGGTGAGGGGCCCGGCTGCAAAGTCAGGAAGGACCCTCACACCGTGGCCTGACCACCCACCAGCCGGGTGACCTGCGGGGGCCACGTAAACATCTCCGACCTCAGTTTCCACACCTAGAAGACGGGACTAATGACGGCGTCCGCCTGCTAGGAGGTGGACAGGATGGACCACGGCCGTCCCAGGACCTGGGCCAGACCTGCTCCCCTCTCTCTCCCTCCAAGCTCAGGTCCGTTCTAGCTGCACTTCCTCCCGGGCGCCCGGAGAGTCATGGCCTCGCTCCCACCGCACCGGCGGCTTCAGGAGACTCCGCAGGGAACGACCAGGGGCCACGCAGACCCCCACACATGCAGGGTTTGCCGTCGTCATCACACAGAAATGACAATTACTCTCTGCGCTCCGTGCTCCCGAACTACCCCCACCGCAACGTTTAACGATGACGACTGCGCAGGAGTCACTGACTCACGCGTCTGTGCAGGGGCCGCGAGCGCCGTGGAGGGGTGGGCACCCGGACAGGGGGAGCCACTCTGTGTCCCTCAAGCGGAGGACGGAGACCCTCCTCCTGGAGTCCCTGGGCCCCACGACCCAGCACAGGGTCCTCCTTCGGAGGGGAGGGACAGTCCATCACTGTCTGACGTGGTGACAGGTGCCACACGGCCGCGTGGCTTTCTAGGCTGGCGCTTCAGGGCCGCTGTCTGTCTGGCCATCCCAGGGCTGACTTGTGCAGCATTTTACGTAGCTTTTAAAATGTCAAGTGTCCACTTCGAAGCCTCGGAAGGGCGTGGGGGGAGAGGCGTGAGAGCAGCGTCCCCGCCAGGACCCGCGGAAGTCCAGCAATGGCTCCAGCAGCTGTCACAGCCCCAGGTCCGGGGGACAGGGGCCACTGCAGGCCGGAACCCAGGCTGCCAGGCTGGCGAGTCAGCGAGAAGGCAGGAGGGAGGTGCCACTTGCTCTCCTGTCTCGGGCTCGTCCCCTCTCCTGGTCTCCAGGGCACAGAATGTGCTCTGGGTGGTGACGTCCAGGCTGACTGACCGTCCACAGGACCCAGTGCCATGCCAAGGTACGTCCCCCGCGCCGGACAGCCTCCCGCCTTCCCGAGGCCAGTCCCGAGGACACGGCATCTCTGTTCCTCATCTTCCAGCAGGTCATTTGCTCTTCCCCACGCCGACCTCGACAGCAAGGCCAGCAACACGACCTTCTAGAGCCTTCGTCCTGCCCACAGGACTCTGCGTCTCACCCCCTCGGCCTCCCCACCAGTCAGACACGGGTGTGTCCTTGTCTTCATGTCCCATCCAACATGGATCTCGGGGACATGGGGCAGCTCCCTCCCCTGCTCAGGAGGCCCAGAGCCTGGACCTCACAGGACAGACCAGCCTGGGCCGCACCCCCGGAAGCCAGCCTCGCCCACACCCTACCTGAGGCCCACACCCCCGAAGCCAGCCTCGCCCACACCCTACCTGAGGCCCACACCCCCGAAGCCAGCCTCGCCCACGCCCTACCTGAGGCCCACACCCCCGGAAGCCAGCCTCGCCCACACCCTACCTGAGGCCCACACCCCCAAAGCCAGCCTCGCCCACGCCCTACCTGAGGCCCACACGCATCTAGCTGGGCCTTCCCAAACCATGAGCATCCATGCGGCAGAATCCCCACCACCAATGTAGCAGCTAAATATTGTAAGACTCCTAACTCCCCCATCTGTGTTTTGCCTCCCGAGAGGGAAAATAGTCTTTGCAGACATTCCCGTATCTGGCAGGCACATTCTAAACCTTACTGGCAACCACAGGCCTGTTTTCCCAAGCAAACAGCTATGGAACCAAAAATTGTTCTGCCTGAGATGTGCTGGGGAGGAACCAGCCAACAGCTCGTTCTGGGAACGCCGGCCCGGGCAGGGGGCAGCTGCGTCCCCGAGGAGCCCGGGGTCCCCACGGCCCGCGCGGGAGGCCCGCAGCCCACAGCCACTCGGCTGCCCTTCTTCACACGGGCGTACGCGCCACGAGGCTGATGGAAAACACCCAGCACAGTGTGAAATCAACACTTTCTAACTTAAATAAACGGAAACAGCCAGCCCTTTGGCTACAGACATTTTCTCCTGCAACCGTCCGTGTGTGAGGCAGCAGCACCGTGGAGCCCCGTGCCCTGCCGCCGAGCACACCCGGGCACCCGGACCTCCCTGCGTTATCCCTCGCCCGGCCCCCTGCGCACGCAGCCACCTGCACGCGCGCGGCTGCTAATAAACCAAACCGGAGGCCACCTGCGGACGCCTAATTGATAGGGTCCTTTATCGACTGGCCTTGATGTCTCTCCGAGGTCCTCAAAAGCCAAGATTTAAATGTTTCATTTTATTTTTAACTTTCCCGGTTCCACATTCCAGCAATGTCAGGCAAAGAGGTATGGTCTCACGATCAGGAAGAATCATGGCGCGGAATAATTTATGACTTCAGCTTGGGCGTTCAGGGAGCTATTTCCAACCTTCCCTTTGATTCGGTTGCATCAAAACCACTCTGAGCACGTTCTTGGAGCCAGAATATGGGAGCGGCACCTCAGGACCGGGAGCCGAGGCCTCGTGTTTATCCCAACAGAAAATTGGAGGGAAGAATGAAGACTGTAACCTTGTTTCCTGATGCCTTTGTCCCTGGGCAGCAACGCCTCCCTGGGCGAGGGTCCTGCCAGCAACCTGGCTCAGAGCTCATGGGACGGGTGCTACCTGGGGGGGAGCCACCCGGCCCAGAGCAGAGGGAGGGGACCGTTGGGTTGGAATTTGTGTAGGTCAACGAGACAAAGCAGGAGGCACCGGGCTGCGTCCAGGCCAGCGCGCAGGATGGGAAGACTTACCTTAGCAGCCTAACTGCATGCTGTCTGACGGACCGTCTGGTGAGAAAACGCCCAGGAACGAGGCCGCGGGTCCAGGCACTGACAGATGGCCAGAGGGGCGTCCCAGGTCCCTATCACAAAAGAAAACATAGAAAGAAACTACATAAAGTGAAATGTAACAAATCCACCAAATCACAGCCGTACGCAGAGGTCAAGGAAATGCAACGGAAAAGGTCAAAGATGAAATCAAAGCCGCAGTGTGGAGATGAGAACCCTCCCCGAGCAAGGCCACGGGTGATGGGCTGTCGACAAGAAGCTAAATACTGCCTAGCACTGGGATCTTTCATTTTCATCAGATCAATAAAAGCTTATATTTATCAGGATTCCAAGCAGCTGCCGCATCTGACAACCTCCACTTTATTTTCCCAGTCCTCGCGCCGAGCGGGGCAACGGGAGAGGCCAGGCAGCGTTTAATGCTACTTACACCTGAAGACACAATTCCATTACGGGGCCCTGTTTTGTTAAAGAAGCCGGGATTGATATGATTCTATTGGCAGGAGCGGGAGGACTCTTTGTTCTTCCCACCATGTTCGCTGCTTTGCAGCCCCGACCCCGCTCGAAGGTTCCCCGACACGGAATCTCCACCAGCACTTCGCTTCGTCCCAACTTACCACTGACAGGGGGAGAGGGGCTCTCGGCTGAAACAGTTACCACCCTAATCATCTGTGCAACAATATTTGCTACCGGGCATTCTAAATAGATTATCACCAGTCCATCTGTGTCATTATTGATTTATAAGGCTGTGAGCGGCTTTCGAATGGAAGCCTTCCCACCGAGGGGCTCCTCGTATAAGCCAGAGCCCTGCTCAAATATAGCCACCGTCACTCAGGAGACGGTTCCTCAAATCATCCCTCATCCCGGGAAGGAGAAAATGATAAATTGCTTATAATATACTGATCCAAACTGATATGCAAATCTTGTTTTTTAAATATATTACTTGAGTAGAAAGAGGCGTCATTAACATATGAATGCCGCATGCAAATGAGGGTGACAGCAGATGTTGGTGCATGTAATTGACCTATATGTGAATTGCATCAGAACCCTTACTGTATTAACTCACTCCCCAGCAGCCAGAGATTGTCCAAAAAGTACATTCTCTGGAACCGCATTCTGGGAGCGGGGCGGACAGGGTCCCGAGGATTCTGAAACAAGGTCACCGGCTCCAGGATTTTGCTGTCTTCTGCATTCCCCTTCTTATGGATGACATCATCACGGGGCCGTGTAAATCGATCACTTAATAGCATTTAGAAAATACTGCAGTGGGGGAACAGGTTAGGAAAAAAACGGCCCAGTTTTATTCTTTTTCTTGGCAGAAATGTCATACCTCTTAAACCGAGGGTCTGTGCATGAGTGCACCGTGAGACGCACAGATGCCGTTCCGTTCGCCGTCTTTATTTCCCCTCTTCTTCTCGGAATGACATTAAATTGTATTAAATAGCCTTTTGTCCACAGGGCACAGACCACCCTGCATATGATAATGTATTAATGCCCCCACGTTCCAGGCACTGAGCTGAGACATTCTGAGACTTGGAGGATAACTATGAAGCACCACTGTGTGTATAGCCTGCTAACAACTGTGACACATACTAATAGAAACATACCTAATAAATTACTGCTTTCAGGTCTAGCAAGCTGACATTTCTCTGCAAGGGACAATTTTATATTTGTGGCACAGAACAAAATTGCTTCATATGAAGCCACTGTGGATTAGCATAAAAATTAACACTTAAATTCCAGCTTATTTTCCACCCTCTCTTCCTGCCACAACAATCAATTCCTCTTATAAATCTGATTAGATTTTATGATGTTATTATTCAGAGCATGTCTCAACACAGCATTCACAGGCTTGAAGACTATTTGTTTAAATAGAAAAAAGAAGCAGATAAATCTATAGGTATTTTTTATTACTCCATTCCCCACCAGTTTCTTGCTCATATTGTAACATCAGTAATTGATTGCACACATTAATTAACATGTAAGGTAGAAATTCGGCATTATGCATGATTTATTTTCCTATCTGGTGAGGAGGTTTGTCTGTTGCCCTTGTATTTCTAGGACATTGGGCTCGATTCTGGTCCAGACATAAATGCCAATGCTCGTTCCCCCTGAAAGTTATTAATGTCAGATATGAAATGAGATTTTTGATTTCACCTGCTTACTAATCCACAAAAGCTGTTTTGAGTGATGCAGGCTTAAACGCCGAAATTTGAAATGATATATTGCTATATCTGATAACATGCAAATATGTTCATTAGACATAATTTAGCAGGAAAGAATAGCAACTTTTATAACAAGTCTAGGTCGAAAATGGTGGTTAATTAAACAAGTCATGAAAAATGGTATCACCAGGGGACTGTCCAGCAGACACCGGGCTTTCTGGCGAGAGTGCTGGCCGGGCCCGGCGCCGTCCACGACGGGAAGGACTTCCTCGGCGCGGCTGATGAAATATCCCGTCCCCACAGAAAGAACCGCCAACCGGCCAGCTGTCTCGATTATCACGGGAAGGCCCTGTGCTTCTCCGTTTCAATATGACATTTCCCTTTCTGTCTTGGTGGCTCCGGGTGATTTATATGGTGGACTCCTTCACAAACAAACCAGGAAAGGACTGTGCACCGCGCCCGCCGCCCTGCCGGCAGCCAAGTGGTCGTGGCTGCGTGTTTCCAACCAAGTAAAGCAAGAGCCACAGGCCAGGTGGGCGACGAGGGCAGTGGGGCGGATGGGGCCGAGGGAGACGGAGGACGAGCACACCGGAGTACCCCGCGTGCCTAAGTGTCTTCCTGGTCCTACGGTCCTTCTCAGATGACCTGCTTCGGTTACCTAGGAAACCGGGGCACTGTAAGAATTCTTTTGATTGGCCAGGAGTTGAGCCTCAGTGTGGGCGGGGCTCTGCCACACAGGTACACGGGCCACCTGAGCGCGGTTCCTTAGAGTGAGGCTGTAGGGATCCTGGGGGAAGCGGGTAGCGTGGGGGGTACCTACGGTCTAAAGGAGGGTGGGATGCGGGATTCGTTTCCAGCTGGCCACCAGGTGCCTTCAGAGCATGGACCGGACATGAGCCAACAGGTGCCTCATGGCCTGGGAGTGGACAGGTGACCATGTTCTACGTCTAGAGGGTCCCGGCAGCCGTGCACAGCAGGGAGAGCGCAGAGGCTCAGGAAGCGAAGTGAGTGTCAGGGCAAACCCCCAACTCAATAAAGCAAAAGAAGCCCACGCGTGAGCCGGTCAGCCTCACTGGACGCCAGCTCAGAGCCCGGCGCCCGCGTCGTTTCCGGTCCACGCTCGCTGGGCAGTGGCCCTTTCCCGCTGCACACTCCAGGGTAGCAGCTTCGCTCTGGGCCCGGCTTGCGGTCCGTGTCGCCGCCGCTGCTGCTAGAAACCTCACCCGACCTTCCAGCGGGGTTTCGGGGTTTCTGTGCCTTCGGATACGGAATCCCAACGAGGGAAGCAGGTACCCCTCCTGTCCCGCCTGCCTTTCGGGAACAGTGTGACGTTCGAACACAGAAAACAGGCGGGAACCCCGCAGCAGGACAGGAGAAAGACAAGCCAGTTCTGCGTGACCCTCGGCAGGGCTTGATCCCCGCCGTGCCGGTCACTGCGTGTCCTGCCCCTCACAAGTCATCGCGACAGACGGCCCCTCCTTCCCCCCGTCACCCCGCAGCCTGGTTCGTGCACCTGAGCATCTGCTGCTTCCCCTGGGGGCTTCTCCTGGGCTAGGAGCCACCAAGGGTGTCACAGACTCTCAGGCGATGGGGAAACCTGGGGAGGGAGGTGTCAAGACCACGGCACTCGAGTGACTCTGGGATCCCACGGCCACAGTAGGTGCGTTTAGCCTGCACCTCTCACAGGCCAATAATTCTCCCAGGGACCGTGGCTCGGTTCATCCTCCTCCATACGTCCACACCCAGCGACGAGAACGATGCCAAGTTGACCCGGATCACGGTCAGACGATTACACCTTTCTCCAGAGGTTTAGTCAATGTCAAAGTGTTTTGTTTGTGGATGAATAAAACAAGTGCATGAACTAACAGATGCACACCTGAACACAGAGATGTACACTGAACGTGTGCACAAAGCCGGACGTGAATGGACAGGTGAAGGGAGAGAGAGGACTGAACGAGTTGAAAAAGTAATAGATTCATGTGGCTCAGTGGTTGAGCGTCGACCCTGCACCAAGAGGTCACCGGTTCAATTCCTGGTCAGGGCACATGCCCAGGTTGTGGGCCTGATCCCCAGTGGGGGGCATGCAGGAGGCGGCCAATCCATGTTCTCTCTCATCGATGTTTCTATCTCTCCCTCGCCCTTCCTCTCTCTCTCTAATATCAATAAAGAAAAAATAATACTACAAAAAGTAATAGATTCACAAATTAATGCATAAAGGCAAAAATACACATACAAATTTAAAAATGCCTTATGAATGAATGAGAATACCACTGGGGTCTTCTTCATAAATAAGAACAGACATGAGCTCCTACTGCACACCCACCAACAGCGTTGATGTAAGACAGAAGAAACAGTAAGGTCTTGGTTATTGTCAAATGTTTGGTCACCATCCTTGGCTTTCTCCCTGTATCTCCAAGGACACAGAGCCCTGGAGATCCCCATGGGAGCCAGTAGGGTCTGCACAAACCCTTGCAGACTTGGGAGAAGGCGGGCAAGCATCCCCGTCCTGTCTGACCCTCAGGACGAGAGGACCCAGTCACCTGGCTTTGGTACAACCTGCTCCTGCCGGACCCCGGGAGGCAGGAGTCACAGCCATCCGGAGCACAGTCCTAGACCAGGCCAGTATCCTCTGACGCTGACATTGAGGAGTCACCTTGTCACCGAGTTGTCACCCCTCCTTTCTGGAGTGGAGATAATGTATCTGAAGGTGCTCAGCCCAGGTGCCTTGTCACCACTCGCCTATCAGCCACCATCACCCGCTATCACTGAGCAGAGTGCCCTGCGTCTCTGGGTCCCCTGTCTGTGGAGAGTGTCCTCCCGGTGGGCACCCATGCGTGCCGGCTG